TATGGGCCAGAGGACTCCAATTTACAGAATGGCAGTAAACATTGCAACCTGAGTATAGAGGATAGTTGAGGATGTGTCTGCCAAGTGAAAAGTTAATTTGCGTTTTCATGTGCCACCAAAACACCCCCGTTTCCTCACCCTTAGCCCCCCGCCTCCTCTTGGCCCGCCCCATTGTGAAGCCATCAGATAGTGGCTTCCAGAGGTCCACACCTGTCTCAGGGCTATGCAGAGGAGATGGATGCATGCATTTTGAGCATCAGATAGCCGCTAGCAAGGGTTAGTATTGATCTAACGCTTCACTGGGCCTTTGTGAGAGCAGCAGCTGCTTTCGGGGGCTTTTAGATAAGCAATGCAAAGGGAATTGTTTCTCCTAAAACCTCTTTTTTTTCAGCCTGAACACATGAAAACCATCACTTAATTCAACACTCCATCGCTCTAGAACAAAATGTCCTTTCCCCTGACATTAAAATCAGCAAATAAGCATTAAAACATCTGCCTTCAGGGAACTGGAACGAGTATTGGAAATCACACAACGATATGCAGCTCTTTGGATTTTCTTGTTTAATCATCTGTAGTCTCCAGAGTGGAAATAAAAAGGAAAACTCTACATGTTGCAGTGTTGCTCAGCTATCCTCTATTGGTTGCTACGCCTACACTTCCAGCCACTGAATGAAGCTGGGGGTGAGATGAAACGCAGTGGGGTGGGACGGGGGGTCAGCGTGAGACCCTCCCTGGATGACTCACCAGCCGCAGCAGCGCCTCATCGCCAGCCAATAATGAGGCATGCTAATGAGCGGGACGCCCACCCCAGCGCTCATCATTAAACGGCGTTGTGATTCATGTCAGGACAGGTGGCACCAAGCTCATCCCTTACTGGACCCATCCACACACAGCGTGACTCTGTTGGTGTGGACCGCTCTCTACTCAGAGCCTTACTTTGTTGTGCTACCACTTGGGCTGGGACGATTAATCGTGATTAATCGATTGTTGAAATAATTGTCAACTAACTTACCAATCAATTAATTGTTAACTGGAGTATGCAGACTCAGAAAAAGGAAATTTGCTGAAGAATGCACTGAGTGGTACATCAAAACTGTACAAATAATGTATACATTTTTTATCTGAGATTTAAAATCTTTTGTCAGTAAATAAGTTCAAGTGGCAGTTTTAGCCTCATCTTGTTGAAAGTCTGCAAAAAAATATTACTTTTCTTTACCTTTTGCTATCCAGTTATGCATCGGTTAATTCAAAAACTAATCAACAGATCAGATCTGTACTTTATTGATGAATTAATCAGAATATCTGAGCTTTGCACATGTTGATGTTAGAAGTATTTTAGCTGCAGATGCTTCCTTTGCTACAAATGATCAGGCGTTAACCATCAGGATGATGTTATTGCATTTCAGGCAATAAAATGTTTTCTTTCTTATTTAAGAAGGAGTTGAATTACTTGTTAATTTGCATATTTTATGTATTTCTAATAGTATTTACAAAAGGCTTAAAAGGATAAGTGAAACATTTCCTAAATGTGCCAATTTTGTATGTGATTAATCAATTAATCATCAGAATGATCTGTAGAATAGTTGATAACTCAGTCTGGGTTTTGCTGCAGGGCTCCATATTCATCCCTTTACAGGGAAACTAAATAACCTACAGATGAAACAACGTCTCTGTTTTTCAGTGTCTCATCGGCGCTCAGAGGAGAATTGTTGCAGGTCCTTGTTAGACTTTACAACCTTCACTGCCCCAAACAAACTCAACAAATCTTTATGAATCTGCTGTTATTTACACTCTTTCTCATGTCAGATAACATTCCTGCTGCTGTTTTCACATCCATGTCTGCAGTTTTTTCACTTGTAAACAGTGAGATGTTTCTTCTCCATATTACATATTGTATATTTTTGTTTCTTTAAAGATCCTCATCAGTTGCACATTTCTTCTAAGATGAGGTTGCTACTTTCAATAACAGTACAGTTTCATTCTTTCCTATGTTGTAAATTTCCTTCTTCTGTACAGTCTCTTCTTAATGTGTACCTTTGTATGAATAAGCATGATCACAGTTACCTTGTGACACCTGAATTTCCCCACAGTTGAATAATAAAGGATATTTCTACTGTGTTCTAAAATGCTGTGTTTTCCCCCAGACTGCATCCAGTCCAAACAGGATCATTCGTTCATCTGGAAGAGGAACGGGACGGCTGCTCTGATGAATCCATCAGGACAGAAAATACTGACTCGCATTTGCATGAAGGAACCTCCTGAGAGCGAACATCTGATAAAGTTTAATCAGCACAGGGTGGCCATGATAAAGCATTTCAGCTCCGTCTCTGTCTGGGTGGGTGAGTCAGAGGTTTGTCTCTGTATGTTCCAGGGATGTAGAGGAATAAGTCCCTGTTTATATCCCAAAATGTCTCTCTCTCTTAATCTGAACCACTTTCCTGAGCCATGCCTCCTTTAGCCCTGTGTTTCTTTTCTTTTTTTCTTCCTCTCTCTCTCCCTGCTATCCTGTCTCTGCTTTCTGGGCTCGGTCTGTATCAGTTGAGGCACTTCTTAAGCCCCAGCTGCGGGAGAATACGGCGGCTTGGTGGGGGGAGGGTTTCAAAAGGGTAAGTGATTGCCCTCTAGGGGACGAAGCAGAGAGAAAAAAGCAGGACGCCTTATCGCCCAAGCCTCCAATAGCACTGCTGGCTCCCACCCAGAGCCACAGGGGAGGCGTGTGGAGGGGATGGAGGAGACGCCAGCTCGATGCTACACTGCTTCTTGACACAGCAGACTCAGCGGGGTTCCTTCCATCTCCTCCTGCCAGTACAGGCTCAGATAGCGGCTGCACAGGCAAACGTTGCCATCTGAATGAGCGCCTCTGCTCTGCGTTCCACACGAGGAAACGTTCAGATTGTAAAGAAAATAAATAAAAAAAATAACAGCTTGTTTATCTTGTAATTTTGGTATTCATCCATTGCCTCAATTAGTTCACACAAATCAGCCATTTGGTTGAGGTGATCTGTTTTATGAGACGTGTTGTTCCAGGAGATGCTGCAGGTGTTTGCTCACTGTAAACAGGAAGTGAGCAGAATGCGCTACTGACCTACTTTCTTCATTCAAATGAAGGCATGGAAACAAACGGGAGGAAAGCCACAGGAAGCCGCTGAAAACAGAAATGAATGGATGTGGCTCCACCTGGCCTCATGGTCAGCACACGTTTGGCTGATTTACTGTTGGCACCCTTATTTATAAATAAATAAATAAATAAATAAATAAATAAATAAATAAATAAATAAATAAATAAATAAATAGGATTATGTTTTCAATTGTTAAATATTAAATTGAAATAAAAAAATAAGTAGAAATTTACATCTATGTTGACTATATTAGTATTTGAAACATTAAAACTTAGAATCACCTCCAAAGATGCAAAAAATAAAAAAATAAAAATCTGACCCTTTTTCATGCTCCTTAATAAACAACTAACTCTGCAACCATGGTGACTGCAGGAGGTTATGTTTGAAATAAAGACTTTAAAAATGTTATATTACCTCAAAAGACCCAAAATTCTGCTTCTTCCTCCATTTTGTCATGTTCCACCTTTGTAGTTTTGCTCATTTCTGTCCAAACTTATTATTATAAGCAGCTGACTAAATCTGGACATTTCATATCACATTTAACAACTGACAACTAATGTAATTTTCCATATTTTAATCATATCCTGCTTTCAGGAAATGATGCTTTGTGACTCCAGTAAATGACACAGCAGCAGGATTCTGGTCCGTTATCCTGGTTTCATCAGGGTCATGTCTTATTTTATATCTCAATAATTGATGAAAACACTGAACCACAGTAAAAATAAGATGGTTTAAGTGCTTGGGGAAGAAATACTTTCTTTAAAGGGGTAAAATGTTGGCAGAAAATGATCAAATAGGAAAGTGAAGGTACAAATGATCAAATTGACCAGAAATAAAAAAAAGACTGAGTTTCTGACTCTACTGTAAATATGTGAAGCCTTATCACTACAGTGGACATTAAATTGTGGGTGGTGTCAGAATATGAGAAAAATATAGATTTTTATTTTGATTTGCCATTTTGATTTTATGTTTCTATTACTATAAAAACCTGATTTAAAGTCCAACTCATTCATTTTCCCTTCCACTGTGGCCACATGCTGTAAAATCAATGACTTGATACATTCAGCAACTAAACTAAAACCAAATAGTTTCATTTAAATCTGTCGTTATGACTGAAATGATTAGATTACATGTTTCTGGATATGAATGGGTTGTTTTTCAAACAGCCTGTAAGCCAACCAGATGGTTTTTATGTTAATAAGTAAAATAAAATAACTATGTTTTTATTTTATTATTATTTTGCTTCTCACTGTATTTTGATGACAGCATCCAAGTGTGAAAATATGCACATAACGCAGTGACGTCACAGGAGCCGGCTGGTGGAGGGGGTCAGAGGTCAGTGATTTAAAGCTTTTAATAGTTTTAATAAGAAAATACTTTTACATGTTGTATTTTAAAATGAACCTAAAAAGAAAACACTCATTTTTTTATTTTTATATCAGATTCTGTGAAGGTTCAGAATGCGCAGCTCCTCATTAATACATGAGTAAAATGCATGAGGCGGTAATGACACCGCAGCGCTGATATGAAGCTGTTTCCAGCTGTAAAAATATAACACTGGTTAGCAGACAAGCAGACGCACCGACGCAGCAGGCGCCTGGAACAGTGTCCAAGCGCCACCTTCAGTTTTCAACCTGAGGGAGGAGGGGAAAGGACAATAAGTCAATATTTTCCCACAATTCACGTGGAAAACATGGTTTGTCATCATAAAAATAACCTCCTGATATTATATGAGGAAAATTATTAGAAAACTGAAGTCAGGCTTGTGTGCGCTCCGGTGCGTAAAGCCGCTGAGCGGAGCGCGGCGCTGACTGGGTGTTTAATATGCTTGTCTCGCCCGGCGTGTTGCCCCAGACACTATGTAGCACAAATCCCCACCTCCACTCAGAGCCTCCTGCCTCCACAGAGCAGAGGAGGCAGGAACCAAAAGGGTTAACCGGAGTCCTGGAGTCTTCTGAGTCTGCTGGGCGGAGTGGAAGGAGCGGGATTGGATGACTGGGCTGTGACGCAGGGGACATGAAAAAGCTGATAACTAGTTAAGAAGGCAGTTTGTAACTCTGGAAAAAGAGTGCAGAGCTTGAGACACGTTAAGCAGAGGACGTGGATGAACCAGAGAAAGCTGAGCCGTCCTGGCGGTGAGGAGCTGTTAGAGACTGCAAAGTGACTCCGAACTGCGGACAATGGTGCAGCACACGGACCACGGCGAGACGGATGGCAGCATGTCCAGGGAGGCCACCGACTCGGAGGAGAGCGAGTTTATGGCATGCAGCCCCGTGGCAATCAACCCGGACTGGTGCAAGACGGCCACCGGGCACATCAAGAGACCCATGAACGCCTTCATGGTCTGGTCCAAGATCGAGCGGAGGAAGATCATGGAGCAGTCCCCAGACATGCACAACGCGGAGATCTCCAAGCGCCTGGGCAAGCGGTGGAAGATGCTGAAGGACAGCGAGAAGATCCCGTTCATCAGAGAGGCCGAGCGGCTGCGGCTCAAACACATGGCCGACTACCCCGACTACAAGTACAGACCCAAGAAGAAACCAAAGCTGGACGGCTCCAAACCCTCGGCGTCGTCACCGGAGAAGTGCGGCAAGATCGCCAAGACTCCCAGCAAGAAGTGCTCCAAGATCAAGACCAAGAGCGGCTCCAAGACCGCTCACGGCTACGCGGAGGACTGCGTGTTTCCCAGCATAAAAGTTGCAAAGACTGTGAAAAGTGAGCTCACCGATGAGGACGACGATGACGAGTATGAAGAGGACTACCGGATGGGCTTTAAGGCGGGAGAGGAGGAGCGCCTGAGGCCGTACGGCGTCGCCAAAGTTCCGGCGAGCCCGACTCTCAGCTCCTCGGCGGAGTCGGAGGGGGCGAGCATGTACGAAGAGGTGAGGAGCCACAATAGACTGTTTTACAACATCAAGAGCATTTCCAAGCAGGGCGCGCTGCACGCTGCCTCCGTCTCACCAGCATCCTCCAGGTCGGTGTCCACCTCCTCCTCCTCCTCCTCCAGCAGCAGCAGCAGCAGCGGCTCCTCGTCCGGGGAGGACGCGGACGACCTGCTGTTTGACTTTAGTTTGAATTTCGCTCCGAGCGCCGCGGGCTCCGAGCTGGGCAACCCCAATTCAGGAAACCTGTCCCTGTCTCTGGTGGATAAGGACCTGGACTCGTTCAGTGAGGGCAGCCTGGGCTCCCACTTTGAATTCCCAGACTACTGCACGCCAGAACTGAGCGAGATGATCGCAGGGGACTGGCTGGAGGCGAACTTTTCCGACTTAGTCTTCACATACTGAAGAAAAAACACAGAAACTGTTCCTCTAGTAATAACAGAGAAGGAAGATATGAAATTATATGTCCTGGTCAGATTGTCCCCAGCCCTGCCTCTTGTGGGTTTTCTAGCAGAGGGAGGAGGAGGAGGAGGAGGAAGAGGAGGACCGTGATCCGAGGTGAGGTTTGAGGAATGAGATGCTTCTGAAGCTGGTAGCAGAAAAAAAGAGAGGAGAAAAAAAACGGCAAGGTCTGCAGACTTTTTTTTATCTGACAGCATGACAGGGTTTTCTGGATTTTTTTCCCTCATAGGTCTGCATTTACTGCTCAGCTTAACCAGACCACAAAGGGAAGAACTTCTATGCATCTTATCCTCTTCAAGACAAACAAAAACAAACTGCAGGGAGCTGAACTCGGACTGTGGACTGTCTCAAAGCAAATCTGTGAACTGAAGATTGTTCAGGATGCTACTTTTCAACGGTTTGTGTAATTTCTAAATGCCGCAAAAATGGTTTTGTTTTTATTTTTTGATTTTTTGGTTCGGTTTTTCCTTTTTGTAACTGATTCCTTTTACCTCCTGGTTTGGAAAAATCAAGCAGCCTAAAACCTCTGCAGAGTATGCAGGTGCGGAGGAAACATTTTGATACATAACAGACCTCATCTTTTTAAAAGAAAAAGATATTTTCAGGCATATTTTTGTACAGTTGAAAAGGGAATGTTCTTACTGTGCTTTCAGTGAGTTTCAGGCACTTCTTCCCTTTATCCTTTGTTTTTACGCATGCAAGGTGAGTCCTGGTTTTAAGGATTAAGTTAAACAGAAGACTTGCATCAAAAATGCCTTGTGATTTTAAACTAGGTTTTGTACAGTTGTAGAGCAGATTTGTTGAGTATTTGTAGACGATACAATGGCATCATGGGGAACACATACCTCAGAGCTGGAACTAGTTTCAAGATTGTATATGTACTGTAATATAGTAAAGTTAGGAGTTTATGTATATCATACTCGTGATATGTGGATGGGTCCCGATCGCAGGTGTGAAACTGGATTTCTTTTTGGTATTTTTTATGGCACATACTGTTTTTTCCCCCCCTTTCTCATTTTTTTGTGCAATATATACTCTTGAGATACAGACCATCAACAATTGTAGCAAGTGATGGAAAAACAGACTCGTGCACTGTCGACATCATCTCGGGTTATGATGCTGAAGCCTCTCTGGGCAGGGAAATAAACAGAATCAGCTGGAACTGATACAAAACAACTGTAATGTGGCCTGGTGGTGTGATGCATGCTAAGAAAACACATATATCAATTTGAATGTTATTCGGATCTCATAATGGGGCAGAACTGACCGCAAAAACTCACACTTGATTGCAAATTAGGGAAAATAAGAGTTCCACAGAAAAAAAGGGGCAAAGTCTGATTCAGTGGTGGCCTGGCTTTATTTTACCAAGCAAGCAAAAAAAGAACATTCCATAGTCCTGTTTCATGAAATGAAACTTTATTTTAAAATCTGAAGACTGCCTTCTTTTTTTAAAGACATGAACCACAAACCTGTATTTTTTATTTCTTGCACTTAAAAAAAGCAGATATTGTTTATTTTTTATGTGGGTCTTACATATGAAGTTTGTTTGATTACGAGTTTTTTGGAATATGGCTTAATTATATGCCGAGACGTTTTGTTGGAAGTTCTGGGCAGTAGTTACTTCACATTCCAAGTGTGAATCTGTCTTTGACTCATCTTTTTAATAAATAAGTACCTACCACCATCCACTGTCCTTTCAGTTTGTGAATATATGTACACAGATGTGTTATTTCTTGCGGTTTTGAAAAGGATGTGACGACAGAATTATGCCTGTTTTTGTATGTAGGCGGAAATCTTAAATGGATGGGCTCAAACTAACATGTGAATTCACATTTAATAAAAAGGAGAAAAAAGCAAAAAAAAAACTGTTTTGAACTGAAGTGTTGAGGTGTTCTCTGCTCTTTTCTTTCTTTCACTTCGCCTAAAACAGACGAGGCTTCTTTAAGAACTTGAATTGCCCGCTTGTAAGTGGTTAGAGCTGTGATTGGTTGCCGTGGTGGTCCCCTTGGAAACAGAGCTGGAAACGGGAGCTGCTGCTCTCAGCGTGAGGGAGCTCTCAGTCTGCCTGGCTTTCATTCAGAAAACCAGTCCTCCACTCTTAAAGCACTCAGCACACAGCAGCTTCGCACATCAGACCAGGAAACGTCTGAATGCAGCTCAGGGGGAAGGGAAGCCGGTTACTGACGGCTAAAATGTAAAATAATGGATGTTTAGTTGTTGCTTAAAACATTAAAAGAGATCTAAATCCCTCATTCTTAATATTGACTCAATGACGCTCACTTCTTAGAGCAGGTTTTGCAATCTGCTGCTTTACAGTCCTCCCACTGTAACTGTTTTCTAAATAATTCTGGATAAAAATAGCAAAACTTCTGCTTTGCTTTTAAATATAAGATCATGAAAACGTCTAGATTTAGCCGTTTGTTGTCATCATGAAATATCTTTAAAGAATAGAATAAAAGATGTGAGGAATCGTTTTTTTTATTCAGTCTTTTATGATTATTAGCATAAAACTATTAGCTTTTCCCTTCATTTTCCAAGAAAATATGTTCATTTCTCTCTTTGATATAAAACATAAAATTAGTTTCTTTTATAATCATAAAAATTTTAACTTTCTGTAATAGTATTTATAAAATTGGATAAAGTATATATTTTTGCAAAGATCCATGTGGGTTTTCTGACTATTGATACATTTCATTTAGTAGAGTTGAGTTCAGAAATGGCTCTTTGTTTTCAGTCAATTTAAATAGCAACAAATTGCTCAAAGTCTAAATTAATTTTAAGTCATTTTCTTTTTATTCCTGACCAAATCAATCCCTGATTAATAAATAAAGTTTTCGTTCTGAGGATACTAAAAACAGTAAAGCTGCAAATTTAACTCAAAACATCATCAAATTAGATTCATATTGTTTATATCATAAGTGAAGAGATTTTGCTGATCTGATATTCCTGTGATTTCTCTCAGCAACATCAATAAGACATCCCCGTCGTTTATGATGTCATGCAGAATATAATTAGCAGCAGAGCCAATGGTTTCCATCGGTTACGTCTTCAGGGTGTCATGAGGCCAGCAGGAGCGGATCCGCCTCACACAGAGCAGACACACAGTCCAATGATACATGCTGGCCATGCGCGGCTGCACAGGTAGTAGCCACCACATCAAGTCAGTTTGCAAATCTGTAATAAAACATTTATCTAGCCATTACTTTACCTGACCTATTGGTCAAAGTTGCTAATGGGTTCCAGGACTATTCCCAGCTGGATCTGTGCATTGATTTTGTGCTCCTCTGAAATATTGGCTGCGGGCTAATGTCACCGGTACACATTGAAATGAAATTAGTGACCCGTTGAAATTTGCCTCCGTTTCCTCCTGAAATAAATAAATGCAAATGCAGATCAGTCTGAGGTCTGAGAGTGAGTCACCAAGCCGTGCGACTCAGCAGCTGGGGGTTACTGCAGAGGAAAGCAGTCGTTTCCAATCTCTTGAACGCTTAAATCATTCATACAAGCTTGGATGTTGCAGTCAAACGTTGGACGTGACATCTATACAAAGAACCGCTCTGCATGGCTGTGGAGGCCCCCCTCACCCCCCACTGTGACCGGCCTTATCTCAGACTAGATGCTAAATCCAGTAATAATAAGGCCTGTTATGATTTCCTGTGCTCTCATCCAGGCAGCGTGGATGCATTACATCACCGCTCAGCTCATGCCGCTGCGCAGTAAGATGCCGTGTTGTGTCATCGTTGATCCACATGTGTTCCTCCCGTCCCAGTGGGAGACAGCCTAATACTGCTGTGGGAATACTGGCATATATTCTCCACGCTTGTGGTTTCATAACAACAACGAAGCAGCTTGCATAAATTTAAACCTGTTTACAGATTGTTAATTGATGAGAGAACAACATTTATGTAATCAGTTATGACTCTCAGAAGCTTGCTGTGCATCTCAATAAACTATACCATTAAAAGTTGTTGTTTTTTTTCCACCAGTTTAATTAAAATAAGACATAATTTAATCTCCAAATGATATTTTAAGCCTTTATTTCTGTTTTTCCACCTGATAGTCCGGTAGACTCGGTTCAGTCGGGGATCAAATTTGCAACATTTGTTACATTTCAGTTCTTTCACAAACTATCCAAACCATTTGTTAACCTGTTCCCCTCCTCTCCTGTGGGGGCGCTGCACCAAGAAACACTGAAGTGAAACTGAGTGCAACTTCCTTATTTATGAAATGGAAACAGAAATGGAAAGGCGTCAGATTTTAGCAGTTGTAGGATTTCTCTTTTTGTCTTTGATAAAAAATTACAAGCCACATCTAGCGCAAGACTAGCATGCTAGTTTTTGTTGCATTTACCCAGAATGCCCTGTGCTGTAGTCCACTTCCTGGCTTTGGAGCAGTCTCCAGTCTGCTTGGCGTTCACATGCATTTGAACAGAACCAGAGCTCACTTTAAGCGAACAGCTGGAGTCAACACACACAGAACCATCCAGGACTTCGACTAATTAAAGGAACGTTTCCTAATTAAAGGAAACGTTCCTTTAATTAGGCCACTCCTGAACTGGAGATAACGTCACACAAAAGAAAAAAGAACTGGACTACTACTCAGCGGTCCAAAATCCTCTTCAGAAAACTAACTTTTCATCTGGAAATGAGACGTCCTCAGTGCTTCTTCAGGTCCAGTGTGACGTTTCCACAGTCGATTTGAGGAGCCACATCATGCCGGTTCTGGTCCATCGGGTTTTATCACAACCAAAGGCAGAGCAGCCCTCCACCAGGACATTTCAGAGCACTCCATGCTTGGACAAGCTTTATGAAGACGCTGGTTTCTTTTTCAAGCTGAAATTGGTACTGGCTCACCTGTGTCAGTCGCCATGGGAACACCAGCCTGACCTGAACGTCATAAAGCAGTGGCGTGAAACTCGCTTTCACTCCAGGCCACATCATGAATGTCTCCAAAGGTACCACCAAGAAAATATTATAACTTTCTAAAAGTGAAATAATATTTGCAATATACCAATAAAAACTGCTTTGATTTGACAGAAATAGTTATATTTAAGCACACAACGGTTATTTTGAAGTTCTATTTGCACTCTAGAGGACCACAGAAATACCTAAGGTGGGCCAGATTGGCCCGCGGGCCTCGAGTTTGGCTGATGTACCACAGAGACTGTTGTCATGAGGAAGATGAGACTCCAGAACCAACGATGAAGACGAGCTGAAGGCAGAAACACAGGCTGACCTCCAGGAGCCCAGATACTACAGAACATACAAACCTTCCTCCATCACAGTTTTTTTTTGTCAGACATAATATGAAGGTTTTTTGAAAATAATCTGAAAAATGTATTTTGTAAAATATGACAGGTGGTTTTAGTTCCAGTATGAAACCAGCATTTGTTCCAAACAAGAACTACGCAGACCATCATTGTTATTTATTGTCTTGTAAATCTACATCAGAAAAGTCTCCGTTTATAACCGGCATGCCTGTGTATGAAGTCTGTGGTAGAATGACCTTATGGGCGCTGCTTCCTAATGGGGTGCGGCTCCCTTGCTGATGGGGAGAATTTGTCTCTAAAATTGTCTGGCGGAGCAGCAGTCCGGTCCCCGTGTCCTCTGCTCCCCCGTCTTGGCCTGGGGCGACTCCTGCTGCTGTTGATGGCTCTCCATTTGCTCTGCCCTCTCCTCCAGCGGAGGGGGGAGCATCAGCCCCATCTGCTGCCTGATATTTACTATCCCTTCACATTTATGAGAGGTGGGGGTGGCAAAAGCCCTAATTCCCTCATGGTGTTTTAGCACCATGGCAGACACGCACACATGCATGAACGTAATGACTGAGAGCAAATGAAGAGGGGAGAAAAGTGCAATAAACACAATGAGAAGCACCCCGTGTGCAAAACCGAGTTCTGTTCTGTAAAAGACGGGCGGTAATGGATGAGAAGCCTGTAGCTGTGATGCATGGTTTGCTGTTTCCAGATCTTTCTTCCATTTCTTCACAGACAGCAACAGGGAGCTGAGAAGAGTTTGGAGGAGCTGAAAGAACACCCAGCAGGTCGCCGGGCGCAGCTGAAGCAGGCAGCGCCATTGTCCCGTCGACACGGAAACAAACAGTTCAATCACTCCCAGCAGAATCCCTTCTGACACGTGGGAAGATCTCATCGGGAGAAGGTCACTTATTTTTTTGTGAGGAGCTGCTGGAGGTCGCACATCACTCATGCACTTTATCTGGCGCTGAAGTCAAAACCTCAGTTGCTTCTCTTTCTGAACCAAACTGCATGTTTGAGTTGCTTCAGGCTGAGTGGGGTTTGGACGTTGTGCTGATTGGGCCTTCGGTGTCTCTGCGAGCCGCGGCTGGCTCCGCTCCGGGAGTGGGAGGAAATAAAAGGGGCCTTTTCCCTTTTCAGTGTAATTTAAGCCAACTTGTCAGGACATCAAGCTCTGTTTAGAGTGGAATCACATAAGCCGGTTTGCCTGATTGCAGGCAGTTTAGGATTTACATTACCTTGTTTGGATTTAATTGGGACTCTGAACTCCATATTTAACTTAAAGCTTTACAGCAGCAGGAACTTATAAGTGAAGGGTCAAAAACTGCTTACATCCCAATTAAATCACAATGTGTACACTGTTCTAAGATAAAAAACACATGAAGCTTCCAGTGTGTTGATAAAGTATCGCAAGGTTATAAAATTACATTATAGAGCAAAAAAGTCAGAATAACTGAACATTTTCACATTTATTCAGTTTAGAACCATAAATTTCAAAGCATTTTAAAGCATCTTCAACAAACAAACAGAAGAAAAGTATAGTGTGATTTAAACTTGCAGTCAGCCTCTTTAAATTGATGTCCTTAAACAAAGACCAGTGCAACCAGTTAGCATGCAGAGGCTGAC